TGGCCTCTTTGATAAGATAAACTGCAGAAAATAAAGACACAGCCTCTTTTAGCTTCTCCAGCCAAACAATTCAAACGTCTATTTTAGCAGATAAGGTCGTGCAGACAGACTGCCCCACCCCTGAAACCTCAGAGACACACTCTCGTCCCTTTGTGCCCCGATAAAGGAGAGCAGTGGATGCATGTAATCAGCATATTATTGATAGTCTTAATGAGAAAGGCTCTGAGTCACTGAAGCCATTAGCCGGGATAAAAGAGGCTTAATTGTTTTGTGTGTGCGCGTGAGTGCACGTGTGTGTGTGTTTTTCATGTGCCTGGGCTAAGACCAAGCTAATTAAATCCATTTCCTTCGTTAGCAACTTTTTTTCTCTCTTAATTAAGAGGGTTAATTATGGGCCTGGACAGAGGTCGCGTGCGTGTTTGTGTGTGCGTGCATTCTCTAGACCAGACCCTGATGTAATATTGCAATCTGTATCAGAGGTGTATAATAACACAATGAGCTCTCGTGGCTTAAATTAAACAGCCTTTGATATTTATTTAAATTCAAACAAGGAGTGAATAATTTAAGTCAGATAGTATCTCGTAAATGATAGAGCTGTCTGCCTTGAATTTCAAAGGCTCGGAGTAATAACACAGCACCATCTCTCCGATAATGGTCACCTATGTCTGTCTTTGTTGGAAAAACGAAGCACACAAATCTACTCTGCAGCTGAAAATATGCAGTTTGCTCGTTTTGAAGAGGAACCCACATGTTGTGGCTCCTCGTCAAAATCATCAACCAACAAGTCTGGTGTTAATACCGACTTCTGTCATCACCGCCGGTGTGCGGTACGAGTGGACGTCTGCAGCATACCAATGGTGTGGAACAATATTCCCCAGCACGCTCCATCTACAGCAATAATATCGTTATGGCTGCCAGACATGAGAGGACTCTCCCTGCCTGCCACTGGACACACACCATTACTTTTGATGGCCTATGTGTGTGTGCACGAGAGTAAAAGAGCATGCGTGCCCTCGGGGTCACACATCCTGTCCGGGTAAAATGGCTGATTCAGGACTCTCTGCCATTTTGCCTGTCAGCTTGGGTCCATGCCGCCATAACCGTTAGACATCTGTGGGCGGGCGACCATCTCCGGTATGATGATGGTGATGATGATGGTGATGATGACGATTCTCTGCGGCCATAACGAGACATTAACACCTTTTACACTCTGTTGACTCGTCTGAAAGCTGCAGGCAAGCTTGGCATGTACAAAAAAAAACAAAAAACGTGCTTGTCTTAACAGCTGGCATCCCAAAATTAGAATGTAATGGAGAAAAGCAGCTCACCCTCCTACATGAAACATTTAAATGTGTGACATGTACCAAAATTAAATTGTTAAATTAAAATGTTTCTGGCTCAGGTTTTTGGGCCATCTGATGAGAGATTAGCAACTCACTCGCCAGAGAAAATGCTAGCATTGTGCCTGTCTGCAAACTATGGATACATTACATTTGCACATTATTGGATACGGTGGATAAATAAAACTGGTATGTTTTTACAACACTGTGTTTAACATGTGGTGAGGTTTAGGCACAAACACCACTTGGTTATGGCGAGGACAAGCTCATGTTTTGGCTTCAAATACCCAATTTTTGGGGCAAAATCCCTGCTGGAAAGATAACCATGACTCACTAAAGACAATTGGTTTCATTATTTGTTCATTGCAAATAGTGGTCTGCAGTGGTCGGCAGCTTGGCAGGCATCTCGCCTACCTTCCAATGACAAAGTCAGCTCATTTACGATACTATCGCTTTCGAAACGTTGATGTGATACATATGAAATGTGCAATTGTAATTTCTTCGTTGTTTGCAGAAACTTATAACGCCAAAATGTTCTTCTGGTGACTGAAACCCAGACATGAGTTAGCAGTTTAGCACTCCCAGTTCCCTCATCTAAAAGTCAATGGGTTTTTGGTTCGATGCCTAAATTAAGGTCTGTGCACAAAAACTTAAGAGATTTTCATTTTTGTTCAAGGACATTTAATAGATTAGTTTTGTTAGAATACAGAACTTTGTCTGGTTGCTAACACGTTGCTAAATGAGACTAGAGAACGTCATCACGCCGAACACGGCTCGCTGTGGTGGTGACACTGAAGTCACGTGACTGTAGCAAATATTGTTCATTGTCTAACATTAGCTTTTTACGGGGCGTCGGTGGCTTAGTGGTAGAGCAGGCGCCCCATGTACAAGGCTGTTTCTGCAGCGGCCCGGGCTCAACTCCAGCCTGTGGCCCTTTGCTGCATGTCATCCCTTCCCTCTCTCCCCCTTTCTCACTTGTCTGTCCTATCTATTAAAGGCTGAAAAGCCCCAAAAAATATCTTAAAAAAAACATTAGCTTTTTACTTCTGGTGATTGTATTTACACTTCAAAAATAATAAAAGTGATCATTTGTGAATACTATCTTCTGCAATAATCCAAAATCCAGTGAAAAAAATCCCACAGGCTTTTTGACAAGGGAACCAGGGCGAAGCTAACGTCACTGTCGACCGACGATTTTGCTTGCCATCTACTAATTGCTTGAAGAACAGAGATGAGAACACTGGAAACATGCACTGAATTGTTCTTGAATGATGACGAAACCCATTGGACGTTACTGCAACCTGCTTGGAGGTGGTGGGGCGAGCATTGACCCAACTCCAGAAATGGTCCATCTTGCATGTGACTTAGCAACACTTGGCACAACTTAGCTCTTTATAACTGAAAATGGAAACGGACATAGACGCGACATTATTTGGCTGGGCGTGGCCAAAAGTTCCAACGGAAAACCCCAGTGTCACACCTAGCACATTTTCCACCAGGTGAGCTCCCCCTGGATCCCCTACCCCCTAGAAAACCCCAAATTGTGGCTTAGTGACTGGCTCTCCAGATATTCTGTCTTGTCTGACACTGAGATCAAACTTTTGCAAATTGTGTCCAAGATTTACATGAAACTTTAAAATCATCAAATTCCCTCTGAGTCATTTCTAGACTCACCTTGAAATCATCGACCTGCTTTGACAGATCATCAGTCCTCTTGTTTGAAGCGTCAACCATGATCTGCACACATGTTTTGAACCTTTTCCCCTCAAGCAAAGTTCTGTAAAAATCCTTTTGCTGGTCCAACAGTTCACATACTTGAGCCAGTGGTGTTGTCTGAGGCTTTCGGAGGTATGGTTGGTCATCAGGGACTACTGGGCCCAGAGTTGAGCAGGATAGATCCAAAATAGAGCCAAAAACCTCCAGAGATACCAGCAATGTCCACAGTTTCGCAGTATTGAGATGGTTTTAATCTTCTTAGTTGAAACAGCAGCAGAAATTTTTAATTTAATGCAGGATTTCTTGGATTTTTGTTGGATAGAAAATCAGCCACAGGTTCAGAGAAATACGGCAGCAGCCATCTTGAACTGTGACAAACTACTTTCTTTTATATTATTGTATTTATTACAAGCAAGAACAAGAGCTAATGACAAATCGACACAAGTTGCTGACAAACATCGGTAATAATGGTTTGAGCCAATTTGCAAATTAAATGTACGGTGCAATTCTGGTTCCTCCCACTGGGTGGCACCCTAGACAGCCACCTTTTTTGCCAATAGGAAGATCCGCCACTGGAAAAGCCAACATGTTTGTCCTTTCTCTACTAAAATGTAAGTGTCTTTATAGCTTGCTCTGCTGCCCCCCGGTGGCCACACGATCAGCTAATACAGTTTTAAACTGTCGACTGTGTTCAGAGAAAGTCCTGCCTCCTCATACTGCAAGACCACGGCCAATCACTTCTTGTTCTCGTCTCTTTGTTGTTCTTCATTCTGTCTGCTCCATCTGAAAATCCCAATAAAACCCTGTCCCCACATCCTGAATGACTCTTTTTAGGGAGAGGCTCGTGGGTGTGTGTCTATCACCGTGCATGCTTCTCGCTGTCACGCTCCTCGCTGGTGCGTTGTTAGGTATGGCTTTTTATTAGCCTCTGGTGTGTTGGAGATGGGGAAGGGGGGGGGGGGCGGTCAGCATCGCTCTAGCAGTAAACTAGCGCGGCCGTCAGCCCTGCACACGGGAACAAACACCCCATTAAACCAAGGCCTTCACATATTACTGTAATAAAAGCCCCTGCTCTCGCCTTTATGGGCTTTTTAATTATGTCTATTCGTCTTCCTGGGCTTGTGAGCAACAGTTCATGATGAGCCCCATTTCACAAATACTCTGCCACTGGCAGAAAGCTGGAGGGGGTGAATTAAAGGGAAAAGCCGAAAATGGCCCGAAGCTAAAATATGACTATTGTTACCAGGATGGTGTTTTATGTTTTACCGCACAGCGCAGAGCCGATGGTGCTCCGCTTTTCATTTCTTCTTGTAAGGTTTTCTTTGTTTTAGATGTGGATTAGTATAAAGATGGAAAAATCTCACGCAGCTAAAGTGAATTACATGGCAGCTCTGTCGAAATGGTGTGTATTAAATTAGCTCCCTGAGATCAGGGCCGGACTAGCTGCAGGCTCCCGGAAAAATTAACCATACAAATCATCCCAGCGTGAATTAAGAATAGCACTTTAGTCCTTCATAGCGTGTACACTTCCTTTGTTTGTCTTGTTGTACAGTATATTCGCACTAATATAAAAGGTCGCTTTCATCCCAGACACGCCCCTGCAGGTTATGAAACCCTTAACCACATTCAGCGAGTTCTCATTTATTGCATTGTGCCTCAAAAACAGTGTTAAACCCCGCCTGGTATTAAAGCCTGCTGATTGATAGAGCAATATACACTGCTGCTTTGTGTACACAGCATACATTTTACGGCCTGGTCATTTTCTGCAAGGCTGGACGCTGCAGCTTAACCCCTTTTAACCCAGGCAAGCCCATAACACTTAACCTGGAGTGTATACTGTGCAGAGAAACAGTCGTTTTAGCTCTGAAAACAATCTCTAAAAAGAAAAAACTGACTTCAAGTTGGCTGATTTTAGTTCTCTTCAACAAAGACAAAAAACGAAGCTTGGTTTTAAATGTTTTATTCTCTTATATCAGGTGCAAACAAAGTGTCCGGTGGGTTTCTGTCCTCTGCCGTAAATGAAAGCACCCGTGAAAACCAGCAGCAGCACAGCCACCGCCGCACCCACTCCACACAGCAGGGCTATTGATGAATAAGAATCTGTGGAGAGCACAAGACAAGCATCATCCATTCCATTAGTTCCAGCGTTTAGCCATGGCGATTAAGAGACGAGCGTTATATCGGCAAGACGACACCGGGGTCCGTTTCACCTGCTCGAGTCGCTTCACGTGTTCGGAGCAGAGAGTCTAGCTCCAACTGAAGCTCGGACAGCTCAGCCAGCTCCTGCAGCAGGATGCTCTCCTCCAGCAGGATGGGGCCCAGAGCCGCCGTCCCCTCCCACTGCTGATCTGGAAAGTCCAACATTATTGAGGGCATTTCGCCAGGTGATTCAGCTGTTCACGCTATGACTGAGTGGTTGGACAATTAAAAAGGGATCAACTCGGAATCAATCCTCCGAAAGATGCGTGAACAGCATGTGTGCCAAATGAAGGCAAGTTAGCTTGTCTAAATATGGGTGCAACCTCTCGTGTGCTCGTCTGTGGCTGATTGTTTTTTACTCCTTTGGGATTCCTAATAAGACAGGCCTGCTACTTTGGAACCATTCACATGGACACCTTTTGTGATATATTTTGCACCAAGAATTAGCAGCAAATGTCTCTCCTGGGTCAGCATCAAATGTTCAGGATTCATCCCCGCGTGTAATGTAGTGTTGCTTGTGTAAACTGTACCAGCATCTGCTCCCAGGCTTCTTCTCTGTCTCTGCTCGCTGCAGCTGGTCTCACAGCAGTCACACACCTTATTGTCTCCACCTGATGCCACCCATCTGTGCAAAGCCAACAAAAGTCACTTACAGAGGCTGAATAAAGTGTATAGTCACGGCAATGCAGAAACAAGGAGTAAATAAAATGAAAGAAAGAAACAGTCACCTGTTGGCTTCAGTCAAGTATGAACATGCTTTGTGTTGGGAGTCGATGGGAACGGAGACTCTTGTTGCTCTCAGGTGACATGTGATGTAGATCTATGAGGGCATTAAAGGACACAGCATGTACCGTGTTAAACATGGATGACTGCTATTCAAAATATTGCACAGACTGCATTTTTACTAATTACATTTAGAGCCCGTAATGGTTTTAAAATCTAACTGTTATCATGGATGTTACATTCTGACTAAAGGCGCATTCACACCAGGATAGTCCGGGGGTTAGACTGAGCGGGGAATGCTGAAAAATTTCACACCTTCATTTTGGTTCTAACATTTCAATTTAGATTTAACATTTAGATTTAGATGTAAATTTGACATTTAGATTTAGATTTAACATTTAGATTTAAATTTAACATTTAGACTTAACATTTAGATTTAACATTTAGATTTAGATTTAACGTTTAGATTTAGATTCAACATTTAGATTTAACGTTTAGATGTAGATTTAACATTTAGATTGAATATTTAGATTTAGATTTAGATTTAACGTTTAGATTCAATATTTAGATTTAACGTTTAGATGTAGATTTAACATTTAGATTTAGATTTAATGTTTAGATTTAGATTCAACATTTAAATTTAATGTTTAGATGTAGATTTAACATTTAGATTTAATATTTAGATTTAGATTTAGATTTAACATTTAGATTCAACATTTAGATTTAACGTTTAGATGTAGATTTAACATTTAGATTTAACATTTAATATTTAGATTTAGATTTAACATTTAGATTTAACATTTAATATTTAGATTTAGATTTAACATTTAGATTTAACATTTAGGTTTAACATTTAATATTTAGATTTAACTGTGACATAACATGTAACATATTTCAAATATTGCTGTAAATGTGGTAAAAAGGGACTTTAAAAAAATTCACACCACTTTTTTAAACATTGTTTGAAGCTCAATGTGGCAAAATGTTGCTGTTAATTTCAGTGTGAGCAACCTTACAAACGGCACCCCATAGTTTGGGGAATGTAGTGAAGCAGCTGCCTGAGGAAGATCATATGGTGCGGCAATATTTTAAGTTACCTAAAAGTTGTCATTCAGCTTCCACCTTTTATAAGATACCTGCTAACGCAACATATGGCAGCTGCGAGAACCTTGGACTTATAAAAAGGACTAAGTATGTCATAGGTGCTAGACACTCTACTGAACTGAACTACAATTGTCAAATACAGATGGACAGTGGGAGTTTGCTTCTTTGGCTTTGGTTGTGTCAGAGGCACTAAAGGAATTCTAACTTGAAGGAGTTTCAGCTGGGTGCAGTTTGCAGTCCTCACCACTAGATGCCACTAGATCCCCCTTAATCTTACACACTGCTCCTCTGGGACATTGGATACATTTTTTTAGTCTCTGTTACGAATAAAAACTGAAAAATTACTTGAACAAATTTAAATAATTTTATTTTCGTGGCGTCTGTGTGGCCTTGTGTATTCTGTGTAGAAACAATGTTCAGACAAGCTTAATATTTGGTGATTTGTGATGCTATGTATTCACGCAATTCAAAGATATTGCTAGGAATCTGGTTGCAAATGTCCAAATAATATTTTTTACATACTTGTCCAGACCTACAAATGACTAAAATCACTTCCCATACTGCGTAGGAACCCTTTAATTTAATCTTTCCCAGCATAGAAATAAGTATAACTTTTGCAACTGCAGCTGAAAATTGAGTATGACATTCCTTTTCCCCTGCTCTTTAGGTCTGATGTATACTTATGTAACCATTATATGTACACAGAGGGTTATTTTTCGTCTGTCACATTTGGGAGTAGAATTTCCTTTTTGGCAAAATGATCAAAGTCACTTTAGAGTGAAGATTCATCCAAACTCTGATTGTACGGATGCAGAAATCAGTTGTCTGAGTGGATGCTGGCTCAGTCTGATGTTACCTGAGAGGCTTTTATTTCCTCAGTTGGAAAGTATTTGCACCGAGGCTATTACGGCCTTCAAACAACACTTACTAATGTGTACATTTCGTGCCAACTTAGCATGTCAGAGGCGAACGGAGCAGCTGAAAAAAAGGTTAAAGTTAGTGTGAGGAATACGAAATATACGGGAGGAAAAAGTGACGGGAAAAGTCAAACGTTCGGCCATGTGATTCAAGATCAGTAGTTCTGACTTGTATAAACACATCTTGTGCTTACTGAATTCCTGTGATCGTGGTGGAACCTGAAGGCTTTCAGCTGGAAGTGAAGTTTATCCTCGCGGCTCCTCTGCATGAAGTAAGACTTGGCTCCTGTCAGCTTAGCGTCACTGAAACACCTTTTATGGGAACATGCAGGCACGGGATTCATATTCATAAACACACAGCGACCATTAATGCTCTTTATAGGTACAGTATGTCACCCAGCTCCTCACCCATGGTTGTTGATGAAGGGGTATCTGGGTTGAGAATCAGGGTCCGGGCTCTCAGTGGCCACGCAGCTGTCCACATACACCCTCAGTGGAACATGGTGACCCTGGAGGACTGCTGCTTCTATGTGCATCACGTCACTCAGGAAGTAAACACTGGAGGTTCTCCGCGACTGCCAGTCCTCTAATCAAATACAGACAAGGAGAAATATAAGTGGAAAAGTAATGCTGGGGCCATCAATCCGATTAGATCAAAGTCAAATGGTGCCCGTCGGGAGAGTGGGTCAGCGCAGCAGCAGTCAATAGGATACAGGTACTGTAACAATAAGAGAAAAGTACTTTAAAGACGCAATAAATGAATTACAGATGTCGGATCATAAACCTGGAGGAAACACAGATGAGCCTGTGCCTGTAGAAACTAGTTTAAAACTTCTCTGACTCCATACCATGCAAATTCTACAATGAGTAAATCACAGGAGACGCTCGGCCCCACTTTTAAAGCCAATTTGGTGCAGTCGCGTTCAGCAGTGCGGGAATTAATTAGAAAGCATAATCAGCTGTTTATTGATCACTTTATTGTGCGAGTGACCCCGGCAGGTCAGCCGCAGCCTACGAGGCATGTAATTTCAGCTCATCACCATGCATCAAAAGTTCCGCTCGTGTTCATCAAGTCGCTGCTTAGCATCTTTAACAGTCCGCGAGGCCTTGAGTGATTGCAATTACACCCGTCGCTGGGGAAATTAGCCAAACCGCCTGGCGCAAATCAAAGTTTTCACTTGCAGAACGTCAGCTCTAAGTTTGTCGGGTTCTGTCGTGTGTTCCCCCACCTGTCATGAGACGCAGGGAGAAGTGTAGCTGCTGCTCTGCTAAGATGTTGGAGGCAAACAGCTCCCAGGTAGGCCTCACAGCGCTGCTGCTCACATAATGCCTCCTGTGAGGACAATCACAGGGAGGACAGGCATTTCTCTAGAGAGGCTCACTCATTGAGGAGGAAGAATGTGCGCCTCACTCACAAGACAGACAGGAGTAGAGGGAGGAGAGCGTAACACAGGTGGCTGAAAATTCAAACCTTTAAAAAGGGACAGTTCACCCCAAAATCAAAAATGCATATTCTTCCTCTCACCTGTAGTGCTGTTTATCAGTCTGGATAGTTTTGGTGTGAGTGCTGAGTGTTAGAGATATTGGCTGTTGCATGCAGAGATCTCCACTTGAAAAACTCCTCCTCTAACCTCTGCAGTGATTTTGAAATAAGTTGAACATGCTGTAGGTGAACTGTACTTCGCGTGTTAACATTAGCTACGTTAATTTCTTGTGTGTGATGTCAATATTCAGTGTTATGCTAAGGAAGAGAGGAGTAAAGAGATTTACAGTAAAAGTCTGGCTACTTGTTGCATCACTTTCACAGTAAGTTCATTTTTACAGTAGATTCTTGTGAGAGCTGTATACTGTAATTTTAATGTAGATATGCCTCCATATTACTGTGATTTACAGTATCTCACATAAGTGAGTACACCCCTCCCATTTTTGCAAATATTTCATTATATCTTTTCATGGGACAACACTATAGAAATGACACTTTGATATAACTTAAAGTAGTCAGTGTACAGCTTGTGTAGTAGTATAGATTTACCTTCCTCTGAAAATTACTCAAAACACAGCCATCAACATTTAAACAGCTGGCAACATAAGTGAGTACACCCCACAGTGAACATGTCCAAATTGTGCCTAAAGTGTCAATATTTTGTGTGCCAACCATTATTATCTAGCACTGTCTTAACCCTTTTGGGCATGGACTTCACCAGAGCTCACAGGTTGCTTCAGGAATCCTCTCCCACTCCTCCATGATGACATCATGGAGCAGATGGGTGTGAAGACACCTTGCGCTCCTCCACCTTCAGCTTGAGGATGGCCCACAGGTGCACAGGTGAGTTTATCACCTTCACCTTCAGCTTCCTCAGCAAGGCAGTTGTCATCTTCTAGGTGTGTTTTGGGTCATTATCATGTTGGAAAACTGCATTGCAGCTCAGTTTCTGAAGAGGGGCGATCATGCTCTGCTTTGAATTCATGTTTCACTAAATGAACCGAGCTCCCCAGAGCCGGCAGCACTCATGAAGCCCCAAACCAAGGGACAGTTGTCTGGGTGCTCTTTCAGCATGTGTGGCACCTTGGTGAAGAGCACCAAGACAACTGTCCCTTGCCTACAGTCAAGTATAGTGGTGGCAGCATCATGGTTTGGGGCTGCATGAGTGCTGCCGGCTCTGGGGAGCTCGGTTCATTGACTACTACACTGACTACTTTAAGTTATATCAAAGTGTCATTTCTATAGTGTTGTCCCATGAAAAGATATAATGAAATATTTGCAAAAATGGGAGGGGTGTACTCACTTATGTGAGATACTGTAGCAGTATACTCCTGTAAAATTACTATATTTTCCTGCATAAATTTCACAATAAAATTCTGAATATTTCAGTTTAATATCACAGTAAAAGCTTGTGAGTTGATAATATTGTAATTTATTGTGAAATATTACAGTTACATATTGTAACTTCCTGTAAACTATATAATTGAGGTATAAGCAATTATTTGTTTTATTAACCAGCCTGCTACCTACGCAAGGAAAAGTTGAGTACCTGGTTCATAAATTACTTATTAAAAGTGTTTTTTTCCCCCCATTATTTTGCCGGGAAAAAAATAAAAGTAACTTTAACTTCGAGTAATTTATGAACCAGGTACTCAACTTTTCCTTGCGTAGGTTTTTCAAATGGTAATTTTTCCTTTTACCTGAGTCATTTTCTATAGGAGCAACTGTACTTTCACTTAAATATAGATTTATATAGTACTCTGATCCACTGCTAGCTCACCTAGCACCATTGAGCTAGCTAACATCCCAGCTCAGCCAAGGCGGGGACTCGACATGCAACAGAAAAAAATGAACTGTGCCTTTAAAGAACATTTCATACAACATAGAATTCAATGCAAAACCTGTTTACTGGCCAACGTATGAAGAAATACCAACAGACATGATAAGGCCTACAATTATGTATTACAGTAAAACTTCAACTGAAAGTCTAGCCCCTTTTACTAGCTGGGTGTGGCTACACATTATGACAAATTAAAAGCTTGTCTCAATGAGACGCCTGGTCTGGTTGCCAAGCAGTTCATTTTTTTCTTAGAAGATCTCCGGCTTCCTCAAATTATGTGTCCATTCTTCTATTACCCTGTAAGTTATTCATATTCCTTCAGTCTGTAAGGGTCCTCAGATCAAAAGAATCAGAAGGGTTGTTCATAAAAATTACTGTGTGAAAGGAATTAAAGGCCTGTCCCAAATATAGGCCTGTTGATTTCAGTGTTTTATGGTATACTAATATATTTTTTGCAGATAAAAGCTTTTGAAACAAGTTAATAGAATTACTTTTTGATACCTCTTGAGGCCTTTTTTTTCTGAGGAAGCTAGATTCCATGTTTAAAGGCTTCCAGACCCTCAGACAGCTACAACTGGAGGTGGGGATGCCAAGTAATGAAAAAAAAAAACTACCTTCGATAGTGGCATTCAATTACCACCTCAGCAGGGTTGGTCTTCAAAATGACGGTGCTGCCAATGGGTGTTGGAGAGTACATGAGAGTAAAGGTGTAGATGAGGGCGTCTTCAGTCATCTGAGAAAAAAAAAACAGAAGCACTGACTTTAAGAACACACACAGAGGAGATGGACAGTAAAGGAGGCAGAGAGCCACGCACCGTCATTGTGCTGCCACAGCCCTGCAACTGCGTCTGGAACCGCAGGATGTGGCGAGCGGCGTCAAGTGCGGCGCAGCCTCCTAAGGTCAGATCACTTGGATGGATCAACTGACCGTTTCCTAGGAACAAAGAGGAAAAAGGTGCAGCTCAGATTAGGACCATTACCTGAGGCCATTTCTCCTCCTGGTCCAGTCAATAACACTCACAGCAAGTGGAGGTTCAGCCACAGGACAAATAAAAAGGTTTCTTAATGCATCACTGAAAGTCAGCTTCTGAGCACCGATCGGGCATGCAGAATGCTTCTTCTCAGAGTGAAGAAATAAAAGGAAGGATAATATTGATCGCCCAGTCCGTAGTCTGTGCCATTTTGCAGTAATCAGCACTGAGCGTCCCATCTTCACCGTTCCATTCAATTTTCCAATTTGGGCTTCTAACCTGAACCCTTTCTTTTACAGACACCGGAGCAGGAGGCATGTTAAATGAACCTGTGCTTCTGTGGACAAAACCCCGCTCAGACAATTCAGCAACTAACCAGAAGCCATTACCTAGGAAGTTCTGTTTGACCTCTACGGTGACCCCTTCTTCGCCACAGCGTGCTGCCACGCTGTCTGCTGGCACAGGCACCCGCTGCTCAAACATCAGCATCAGCACCTGGAATATCTTTCAGATTTAATTACACTGAACCTTAAATGGTGCGCAAGATCAAAAAGCCAGCGTAGAAGTCGTACCTTTGATTCCGGTTTGACAGGTGGGTTCAGATCAGGGCCTGGAGCCGCCAATTTTATCAGCTCTCGAGCTTGCACAGTTACCTCTGGCTCCAGCTGCTCTGAGGTCAGCTCTCCGGCCTCCGTCATCCACAGGTTTTGAGAAGCATGCACAAGAGGCTGGGGTGGTTTTTGCTTCCTGACAGCTGGGTTCCTGAGCTGGTTGCTCTTGAGGCGGTAGGTGACGGGAGAACGGGCCTGATCGCTGTGCGCCGTGCGGTTTGACTGATGATCTGCTGTCTGCGGTGAACCTGGCAGCTGTGAGCCCTCTGTCACTTTCTCTTGAGGGATTTGGCTCAGAGTCTCATTGGTGCTGAGGTTTGACCAGTTTTGTGTTGCAGCACAGAGATTTCCACCTGAGAGGAGAAGCACAAACCCGAACACAGCCAAGTCTCTGAACCCCATCACAACTTATCACACAAAAACCTGGGTTTTTGGTGCCTTTTTCAGAGAGCACTGCTGTCTTTGTCTTCTGACCAAAACTCAGTTGTGGGAACTTGGCTCGGGCTCCACCTACTCCTAATGACTTGATTGGATTCCAGCCTGGAGGGCTCAATCTCGTCCTCTCTTCCTTCTCACTAAACAAACTGCAGATTAGATGATAGCTGCTTGGCTGTGTGTCCCAAACATTGACAGCTTGTGTAGTCAGCTTCAACCCCGTCCTCATGTCAGAGACTCATTTTTATAAAGAAACACTTTAATTTAAATAATTGTCTACAAGATATTGCACATTCTTCAAATGTTTCAAAGGCAAACACCTCCTCCTAAATCCCCACTTGCCATGATTGTAATGAGCAAAGACTTTTATAAACAGAAACAAGCCTGACCCGAACAGCGAGTGGCGTTCACTGCCCCCGCGAGACACATCAATCAACGCTCTCAGGGAGTTGGAACCCCGGGTTTGAATGTCAAGGCTGTACGGTCAGCAGTCTGCAGAGCTCAGCAGTCAATCATAAAACAAGAGATTTATGATCATCCTCTGCGAGACTTCATAAATGTCACCACCACCACCAGATGTGTGTGTGTGTTGCTGACATGTGACAGGAAGCAGCGGGGCGGGTCTTGAATCTGGGCCAGCAGGCATGTCAATCACACGTTGGCATACCTGTTTGAATCTTGGCCTGGTGAAACACATTTTAGGCTCTGTCTGAACTCTTGAACTCTGCAGGTGGGAGAGTTTTTTAAAATAAATACAGTTACAAATTTGATGACTGCAGTACTGACATGACAAAATTAAAAAAAAAACATGACTTGTGTTTTCACTTGAGAAAGTCTGTAATTTTCAAAGTGTGCCATGAATCAATTCACTTCCTTTCATTTCCTTAATCAACTCACTTTAAAGCTTTTCATTCCCAGCCACTCAGGGTGTTTTCACACTCGGTCCTTTTCAGCCCTCTAAATGGACTCAGAGTGGTGACTCAGCATTTTTTGTGCATATGTGAACACTCCAAGAGACATTAGACCCCTTTGCCACTGTATTCAGCCCTCTAGATCACATGCTGTGGCACTGGGATACTTAAGAAACAGACGAAACCATGTCAGCCTGTGATGCTTGCAAAGATGCAGGATGAGGAGAAGTTTGGTATATCCAATGGCAACAGTCTACAGCACCGAAACACAAAGGTTTCCCTCATTTTTAAGTTCATCTGAAAGTGAGAGGCTTCATAACCACGCTGCAGTGCCACGTCAAAGTAAAAACAAAACTATGTCAATATAATATAGGCTATAGTGTGAACAGAAAGAGGATTGAGGGCCCATCAGAGCTGAAGTGGACCAGAAAGAGAACTGAGTCCTCTTTCAAATGAACTGACAATGTGAACGCAAGAAGAACTGAGTCCCCTTTCTGTTGGTGCACTTTAAGGCTGTTTTCACATTTAGTCCTTTTTAAATGAACCAAACTCAGTCATCTTAAAGTGCACCAAAAAGTAGACCAACAGAAAAGGGACTCAGTTCAGAGTTCGGTTCGCTTCAGAGGGGTCTGAGTTCTCTTGGAGTGTTCACATTTGGGCAAATAACGCTCAGTCCGAGTCCACTTAGAGGGCTGAAAAGGACCAAGTGAGGGAACACCCTAAGAGGACTGAGTTTAGTTTGTTTAAAGAGGACTATTAGTGAAAACACCCTTAATTAAAGAGCATTCAGTCAAGCTGCAGGACAGCACCAGAACAGCTAACGTTACGTTACTGAGTGCCAGTTGGAAAAATTATACCAGACAATTTCTTTGTGTACACAAATGATGCAGAGGTAATAAAAAACAAGAAAAACTTGTATGCAAAATGTTTGGGTCAAAAATACAGATGGAAACGCAACAACTTCCAACTTTGTTCCACATTTGAAGCAGCCCAAAGAGCAAGATGAAGGCTAACGCTAACATAGTTAGCAAGCTAATGCTAAGCTAATGTTAGCTTAACAAGCAAGTAACTTATTGACAAACTTGTTTTAACAAATAACTAGAAACTTTAAAGGGCCTCCGTGGTTTTGTACTTGAAATGTGCTTAAAACTCAAAGTTTAGAACATGGGACTTGACTTGTGACTTGCAACACAATGACTTGGTCCGAAGCTCTGATGTCACAGTATATGATGTCATTTGGTGAAAATATAAATTCAGCCTACTGTAACTGTATTCTGTTTTTAAAACTTTGGATCTCCACTGTAATTTTCAGGATAAATCTGGTGTATTTTCCTTTTCGTCATCTAAACCCATTAAAACAGTGTTCCCAACCCTGCTCCTTGAGGTACGCCTTTCTATAACTAAGTAAACTGATGACCCATGAGTGACATATTTTATGGATACTTTATATTATATAATGGATAACAATAACAGTGCAGAACAACTGATAAACTGTACAGTTCACCCAAATACTGAACTTCAGGAAGTACACAAAATGAGTGATTATGATGAATTTTGAGCCGATAATTTCCCACTTTTTATGGTTTTTTAAATGTATTTATTTATTTTTATTTATTTTTTCAGACAAGGCTGCCGAGCAGAGAATAAAGGCTTTTTAAAATATAGCTTGTGTTTAGGTGTTCACCGTGTCCTGTGAGATTTAAAACAAGCCGACCTCACGTTTTCCAGGCATTTAAAGACGCAGCATATGTATGACCCTTGAGAATATCAATTCTATTTAGTCTCCTTTACATAAATATATAAAATGCTGAAACATAGGCACAGTGTGGTTATTCTGAAAAACTTTTCTTACACTGCTTTAAATCAAGACCGCTGTGTGACCCTCTGTGAAACTCGTGTATTTGTATCAGCCGTCTAGCTTGCTAGATTGATGGATGGATGGATAGATAAAGAAAAATATTAAGTCTTTTAAGAGTCTATTAAGAGTCTTATTCTTTAAAACAATAAGTTTCAATTGGATTGAAATAATTTTAGACGTATAAAAAGGGTCTAAAATCCATCCACAGCTGTATTTAATTTCCCCGTGGGACTCGATGAAGTATTTCTGATTCTGCCTTTAATCTGCGGGGCCTTTTCCAGTAAGAACATATGGATAAAAAACATAATAAGATTTCATTAAAAGAAAGTCCTTTTCTAAAGACTAATTTAGTCTAAATCACTTCCTCTTGATACAGACAAACTAATCCAGGCTGACCTACAGGAATACATTACGGCTCTTCCTCTCTGTCAGGATCTCCCTGCAGACTCCCCGACAGAGAGGCTGCTATTGTCAGGAACTGGCTTTTATCTTTTGCTGATCAGCGGCAAAACAAAGAGAGGAGGTGTGTGTGTGTGTGTGTGCGCGTGCGTGCGTGTGTGTGCGTTAGTTCACCAGGCTAGAGTGAAATCAGTCCATCCCTGCCAGTCAGGCCCCCTCTGCTGCCGATCTCTAACTTGGTTAGCTGCCTCTAATTTGGCCCCCGGAGGGCCCTAATGTGGCCCCTGTGGGGGTTTCTGAAAGGGGGCCTGGCAGCTTCTACCACACACACACACACACACACACACACATACTGCTGCCACTCCCATCAGCTTCTGTTTCCAATAATCCTGGTGCGTTTTTCAGACAGGATGAAACAGGTAAATAGGCCAGTCCTCTGTTTAGACAATAAACACACACACACACACACACATCCACCAGATGGAAAATTGACAACCAGGATGGCACGCCGACGACGCAGATGCTCAGTGACAGTAACACACACAAATGTACACACACACGTCCCTTGTCACGTTTTGCTGACAGCACAAAGTCACGGAAACAGCTCGATTTGGCCGGTGCTGCACTGCGCCATACGGATAACAGTTATGGAGGCTCATTAAAAACATGTAGTGGGAGATGGATTAGTTATAGCCTGCTGTTGTGGTGGGCGAGCAGCGTTCGAGATCAGCGGATTTCTATGCGTTTTGTCAGCGTTCGCGCGGCGGTGAATAGATTTTGCGTGGGACAGGGAGATATTTCTGAGGGAGATTTTTTTCCTCCCATGCAACATGTCCTGGCATGTGTCTTTAGATGCTGGCATCAGTTGTGGTGCCGTTGCTTTAAACTATCTTGGTATGTTGGCAGTTTTTAAAAGGGAGCAAATATGTGGATGTGTCAGGAGGGTGAAGTCAAAGATGAAATATGTGAGGGAGGCAAGTGTGAGCGAGAGGAGAAAGCTAGGAGGAAGAAGTCACAGTGTGAGAGGGTGGAAACAAAGGAGGGAAAGAAGAAAAATACGCTTGAGGTCAGTGAACCTCGGGGTGAGGGCTAACAGACAGCAGCCCGGCTGGTGCTCGGCCCGTCCCGTTGGGAGCAACGTGAAATAACAGCACGCCGGGCTCTGATTCACGGCCCATCAGCGGCCATTTCTAACACATCTCCACACAAGGACACACGTCCTGTTTCCACACACACGTGGGAACATGCACAAACACACACGAGCGCGCCGAGATACCAGCCCGTATACAAAGGAGACACACATGCAGAGAGCTAATGGGCTGTTATTGAAGACATGCATCACACCACAGCACCTACCGACCACACACAAAGCCACTCGCACATCTGCACAGCGCTCCCACACACTCCGACGGGATAATGATCTCCCAGCACTGCAATAACAGCTGATGTATCATTTAGCGAGAAAGCCACAGTGACACGGCGAGGCCACAATGACACAAACACACTCCAGTGGAGAGCTCCAGCCAAAAACACTCTCTTCCCTCGCACTCCACACACGGCCGGCCTCGTTTTTATCACAACATCCATGACATTTCTTATGAAGGGACCGCCGTCTCGCTCAATAGCCTGGATGCAGCTTTTGTGGCGGTATAAAGGTCTTCAGTGCGGGTTGATTGACAGGTGTCATCGCCCCGTGTAGAGGGACAATGCGGTGGCGGGGGAATCAGGAGCTGACCTTTAGCCCTCCATCCTGCTCGACATCGTGAGCTCCAAAGTTTCTCTCAAGGGAGCAACTTTTCATTTTTCCTGTTATCTGATCTGAGCGCTGTGGAAAAGCTAATCTGATGATATTTAGCCGTCTGTTAGCCGCGCTAACTTTTTAACGTGTTGTATGGTGTGATCTGCAAACGCTTTAGGTGTGTAAAGAGCTTAGTATTTTGAACTTCATACTTTTTTGTTGGAAGACTGAGCGCAATTGTAACTATAAAGATTCTTCCACCAGGCACAATCTCCTGGAAAAATGACAACTCCACTCACAGAACAAAAAGCACTGCAACCAAAACAGGAAGACAGTAGTGCTTTTGTTTTTCCTGGTAGCTATCCCCAGTCACCGAAGAGTATCTCTTTGCATTTACTATCCCCAGTAGCGGAAATGGTGGACGGTGAAACAGCCTAAGTTACTGTGGAAACTGTGATTGTTGTCAGACTCTGAAGAAAACGGAAAGCGCCCAGTTGTTTTTGTGACAGCAGTGCCAACAATAATACCACTTTGAAATTGTCTGTTTCCACTTTGAAGCTGCATAAATCTACAGTGCATTGTAATAAATTCCATATG